AGTATCTTCATGCTCGCATTACAATCGCATCGATTACCGACATTGGTAAGCAGGAAATTCTAGATCAAACACCGTCTACCCGGATGTACGTTGTTTATCTGAAACTACATTGTGAATGACTAACCTTAGTTGCACCCACCAGTCTCTCAGTGGCAAAAGGCCTTATCTTGTTGCTTGAAAATAGAATACAATATAGAATAGATTATATACAAGAATATGCTACTTACAACCATTTATGTAGAGGCCCAAATGCCTTCCAAAATAGAAGGGAACACACCAGAGGCTGAAATGCCTTTCCAAATTGAAGGGAACACACAAGTGACCTCTTTCTCAGGAGGTATGTGCTCGTTTTTTTCAGTCATGTTACTTGCTCACTTGAAGAAATCCCTTTAGCCTCGACCAATCACCCTGACCTCCTGCTCGAAAATAGAAAAGATAATAGTTGAAATTATATATGCAGAACTCAGATCTATGCTTTCCAATGTGTATAGGCTGCACTCTCGCCTTACCCCATGTGCGGCACTCACAATGTAAGTCTTTCGGTCGACCAGCTGTATTACGTGCTCAACCCACCATTCAGTCTGGGCTACTAACCCTAATATGCATGCATGGCCCTCCACACTGTCCAAATTTCGAAGGTCGTCAGGGCTGTCGCGTTGCATGTGATCACACGCACACAAATATTTAACCAGCTCACACCCACTGGGAGGAACTTCCTTCCACCGCGACTTATTTGAACAAGCCACCAAGGGCTTCCTAATTCACTCTACAGTATGCCTCCCCGCGCTCCCAAACAAAAAGACCGAGGTTTGGCAGGTGGCGGATCTCATTCCACGAAACCCCCTGTAAGTCAATCACCCTCCCTCCCCGACTGTGTACCGACGTGGCACATGTCACTTAGGCTTCAAAGGCCAACAAAAGGTCAAAGAAAAACAAAAAGCCGGAGCCAAATCTCTCCAAAAAGGTACGTCGTGCAGCGTCTATATAGTCACTATCTCACTAATAATTTATAAGCAGGCCACCAACAGCAACGCTGACACGCGTCAAGTCCTCGAATGCGTCTCGATATCGACCAACAAATCCCGTGATGACGTGCAAGATGAACCTCGGACAGGCAGAAGCACGGCTGAGGGCAGCAGCTGGCAAAAGAAGGTTAGTTGCTCACCTTATTGTTTTATCCGTCGTGGAATCAGACTTTAGTCGTTTCCTGATTGTCAGACTTTATGTCGACAACCCCGCTCAACCAGACTTTAGTCGGTTGGGCAGCGGCGGCCTCGGAAACATAAACTAACTTCATTTAAACAGTGTCCAGGATTCCGTCCCTGCTTTGCCTGACAACACGGATGACGTTGTCACTATGTGAGTTGTTTCCGCTGTAGATTACATTAGAACAATCTCATAATAATTTTAGGATATCTGCCACGGAGCCTGATGCTCCAGTTCCACCATCCAACTCCCTCTCCTCAGCCACTGCGGAAGGCATGAATGACGAAGACGAAGACGAAGACGAAGACGACCCTGGTCGCCCACATCTGCCACCACGCATCGAATTGATATCCCTCGGCCACTTTGACGACATCAAGATCGCTGCCTTGAATGGCGCACTCAAAGGCAATACTCGTTACCGATTCGCCTTTACAGAAGGGGGTTATCGCAGCTACCACAGACGTCGCCCCAAGAGAGGGGGCTGCTCTGCAGCGGACGATCGGACGACCATGTTGGACGAAGAAACAGGATTTTGGGTCCCAATCCCAGCGAATTACACGGCCCCTCACACGCCAGAAGATCTCATTGAGGCAGAGAACAACATACGCATTCAGGATCGTCGTTGCATCGCATATGTCCACCCAGAGACTCGCAAAGCCTTCAAGGAACTCAATGCCTCTCGTGAGCCCGGCGATCCGGAGATCCACCCTCTCCACGTTTATGATATTTCAGAGGGGGAAGAGGCGGCATTGGTGGCAGGCCTCGAGGGGGAAGAGGCGGCCTACAAGTTCCGAAAGCCCTGGGAGGAGGGCCACAGCCGCTACCAAGGCTCCTTACCTCAAGAAGGTGCCCAAAATGCTGCAGATAGGCGTACGGAAATGTGGGACAACGAAACACAGATGTACCGCATGCTCCCTGCGGGTTACACGGCCCCACACGACCCCCAGGACTATGTTGACGCTGTCAACCATGAACTGGCTCGAGCTGAGCAGCATCGTCGCTCCGCAATTATTCTTGCACGTCGCCAACTTCGTCCACGTAAGGAAGAAGGGAAGAAGGAGAAAGTCACAGCATTAGAGGACTGGGAAGCCCCAGATCCCATGATCGAGAGCGACGTCACTGGGTCCGATTATGAAGAGGGACGGCGTGAGGAAGAAAAGACGAGGGACTGGCATAAATCGAGGGGACAGTCGGTTACGGACACTGAAGAGGATGACGCGAAGATTGACGAGGAAGATGCCGAAGAAGAACCAGACTTGGAGCGCGAGGAGGAAGAAGCGCGTGAGGAGGAAGAACAGCGTTCCAAAGGCAAGAAACCTTTGGTTACGGACACCGAGGAGGAAGACGAACGCGACTTGGAGCGTGACGAGCAGGAAGAAGCGCGATCCAAAGCCGCTCGCCTTTTGTTATCGACAATGAAAA